CTCTCTCTCTCTCTCTCTCTCAAGTGGCTCCTCTGGGTCCTGTGGGGGTTTTAGACTTTAAATTACCAAGAAACACATTTGCTTTTATCTGGTAAATTTACTTAATTGTGTTTACTGTATGTCCCTTGGTAGTGTTTGTGTTACCTTCAGAGCGCTGCAGTGGCCTAGATAGATACGCATCACAGACTATAGATCCCTGTGTGATAGGAATCACTGCCAGGAAGATATTTGGCGGTGATTTTATACCACACTTTAAAGGAAAACTAACTTAAATCCACATTTTAAAGTCTGACTTAAATCACAAAAAGTCTGACTAACTGCCGATTTTTGTTCCTGGGGTGTGTTCAGATCTGGATGCGTTAGTCTCATTAAGTTTTTGTGTGATAATATTAAGTTGGTCTGGTTGATTTGACCTCTGTTTTCACCCATGTTTGTTTATTGTCAGCAGAATTAGGCAAAAAGCACTGAACTGATTTGCAGTGAACTTGGTGAAGGGACGGGACGCAGGTCAGGGAGAAACCTTTTACATTTTGAGGCAGATCCAGACACTTGACCATGAAGGTGTGTGAGATCTGCGCCCTCTGAGTGCTCTTCCAGTTTTGCATTACAGTTGTGATTTTATGTTTCTATTTATAATTCTGATTTTGTAACATATTTTGTGTTACAGCTGAAGGATTTAGTTACTTTACCTATTTGTAAACTGACAGAAAATGAATCACCAGATACCTACACACAACCGGTAAAAAAGTTTTATAATTCCTCCATTTTTTAGGTGGTACTGAAATGTACACAGTGTATTGTCTCAGTGTTTCTGTAATTAAGAGAATAGAACAAATTCGCTTTTTAAAAAGAAGATATCTTAAATCCTAAATTTGATCTACGTTTCTTTTTTACCCATCCAGCAGCCAAACAGACCTGTGATGTTCTTTCTACAATGGAAATGAAATACTGTTCCCAAAGTTTGTCCCAACACTGTTGCAGAAGGTCTTAGGAATGTGTTGCACTCCAGTCCAGTTCATCCCAGACCAGTTCCACGGGGTTTAGGTCTGGAGACTGTGCTGCTCTTCCATCATGTTTTGGGTCATTATTTTGCAGTAGGATGAACCTCTGACCAACCACTCTGTCTTCCTTTGTTACTCTCCTCTTCCCCACCATTCTGACAGCATCATACAGTCCTACTGTTTGCAGTACAGTATTGTCCTAATACTGCATCAGAGCGTGTAGTAACACAGTTTGTTCCAACACTGTCTTTATACAAACTGAGAGCTTGTGCGTCATCAACCTGTAGGAATTGCTTGCACTAGGAGATCTAGAAGTTAATCAATTTCTTATTCCCTGAAACAGGTCTCTTTTGACTCACCATCTCATCCTAACAAGAGAAGGCCACATAATTACCAGAAGACAGAGGCGTGATGACATGGGTTCAACCTTTTGGAAGACATTAATGTCACTGAGTTACGTGGATGGTGTTATTATCAGTATGTCAACACTGTGCATCTAAAGTCTTTGTTCATGCAGAAAGCCATCAGACTCGCTCAAGGTCGCTCTGTTCGTTCAGGAGCAGCTGACCCAGTACGAGATGCCGGGTGGAGACAAAGTCGTGCGTCCTTGCTGGCGTCATGGTGATGAAACGTGTGATAAAGTGTCGTAAAAGTGTCTGCAGTGGTAATCTAGCTGAAATTCCTGATCAGCTCACGGAACACAGTGGAAAACCTGTGAGATGCTAAGTCACAACAATAGTCACGATTACAAGATCATGTTTTTTGTTTGTGTTTTTTAGTGAATGCAGTTCCTTTCTTTTCTTTGTCACATATGACAGTAAACCTATCATCTTTGACCTGTTTGCTATATAACACAAGACATTTGAATATGTCCCATTGTTCCCTACAATTATAACACACTTTCTTCACTTTATAATCGCATTTCATTTCATCTCAGTGAGGCTTTGCCATTAAAAATAAGGATAAACAAATACATTTCCTAATCCCCAGTGAAAAATGAGTGTTAATATATTTAAATTACTAAATGGAAGAAAAGATACAGTATGGAGAGATATACAGTATCAACGCAGCTCCTTTCACCTCCAGATAGTGAAGAGTAAGAACCACACCAGTACCTAAACTGAGCAATATTGACATTTGTAGGTACGTTTCTTATTTGTTCAAGGTCTCATGGCTCACCTGCTAATGTGCCATCAAGCCTGCAAAGTGATTTCAGCTGCACACTTTTACCTGGTGGATGTTTGACTGACCATGTTTGCAGATAAGAAGGAGAAGGAGTTTAACAATGTGAAGATATTTGGAAATAAACTCTCTGTTGAAGTAAATGAAACAATGACCAACATTAATTAATTAAAAAACGAAAGAAAAAGAGAGACCTAATCTGATGGTAACCCAAAAAGCTGAGAGAAATACACTGGATGATAATTATAGCAGATCTAAGATGTGGTTGACCTGAACTGACCCGAGCAGAGAGAGAACAGCAACACTGACAGCAGCATGATTATCCACAGTTCACACTCTCTGTCTGCCTCAAAAACACATTTTTCTCCTGTAATGATGATGACGCACATGATCCGAGCTGAGAGAAGATCCACTCAGATTCACTCAGATATCGGCGTACCAGTGAAACTGGATACAATTTGGTTCTGGTCTCAGGTTTGGGTAAGAACTCGTTGGACCTCTGACATCCAACTGAGAGAAAAACTGTTCTCACCAGGACGGAACTAAGAGTCTGCAGCCACGACGTAGTGAGATACAGTGTTGCTTTACAGCAGCTATAATCTATATTTTTATGATAACAATGCCTCAGGGGTCACTGGGTTGCTGAATCTGCAGCTTTACAGTGACTTTTAGCTCATTGTTTATCTGTGCTGACCACACCTTTACTGCTCTGGTTCACTCTCACTGCTCTCATAGCGCCGTTCATAGCTGCTGCTCAGAGAAACAGCTCTAAAAAGCCACTGTCCTCTACCTGCTCAGCAGCAAACAGCAGACTGGCACAGTCAGAGAGCAGCTGGTGAACATAGTGGAGCATTTAGCAGCTAAAGAGCCAGAGATTTCCCTCAGGAGCTGGTGGAGACCAAACACAGAGCTTAAAGAGATTAGATTGATCAGGTGGAGACAAACCCTACTCCTAATGAAACATAATGTTGCTCTGTAGCTGCTGGATAAGGTTATAAATAACTGTTTGCTAATAAATTCAAAATATGTGATATGTGAATAATGATGATGATGATGATGATGATTCAGTGTTTCAGCTTGTTTCTGCTGCCCCCCCTAGTGTTAAAGGTTTAAATTAAATGCTGAAATTAGCATAAACACAAAGTACAACTTAGTCATAAACCAAAATATTGCACAATATTGAGGGGAACATCAATGTTTGCACTAAATTTCATTAAGAAAAACACATATATTAACCTCATCGTGGCGCCAGAGGAAAATCCAATCTCAATGCCCCCCCCCCCCCCCCCCCCTCCCCAAACCCTGAACCCTCACACGCTTAATTGACATCACCTGGTAAATGATCAAGTGTGATTGAGAGGCTGCAAGGGATCAACATGGTATAATGAGGAATGGGACGGCCAAAACATGTTGCGCACGATTGGGTTTGGGACTTTTGATTTTACATATTTTATTTCCTCCATTCACTACTTGCTTGTAAAAAAAAAACAAAAACAAAAAAACAAAACGTTGGACCAGAGCTGATGAAAGCAGATTTTGAATGTATCATCATGTCACCATTGGACAGGTAACTACACACAGTTGTAGCTGTGAAACACCAGTTAGCTACGCATTGATACTTAGCAACATGTAACCTTGTTTTTCCTTGTTATGCTAACGTTAGGGTTTGTTCCTTTCATGCTTGTTAACTGTTCTTCTTCTATTCTATTCTTTTATTCTGTCTTGTGGCGGTTGTTTACCATTTTTTACGCTTCCATGCGTCTCCTGTTAATTCCCTCAGGCAAGGTCTGCAGCAAGTGTAAGGAAAGTGCGCATAAAGGGCCCAAAATGTCTGAGCCCTCATGCCCTTGAGGGTTTGACAGTGGGACAGCCCTAAGCCCTCATGGATTTAAGTCCGTGAGGGGTGGACAAATGGGATTGGACCTAGGATTCAACCTCTGGGGAACATGAGTGTCTCTTCAAAAATTTCACTGCAATCTATCCAATAATAGTAGAAATATTTCAGTCTGAACCAAACAGACACTGTCATGCCAAAAGTCATGTTGCTGGCATATAAAAAATATATATAAAATACAAATTTCACCTTTTTGGGAGCTGTTTTTTTTCTCCCTCCATACAAAGCATGATACATAGTTTACAGGGAAGATAATTTGCAGTCGCCATTCAATTTCAGATGAAGAGTTTGACCTCAGAGGGAACTGTAGCACAGAGGAGATGAAGAATAGTTCGGCTCCGGAGCATAAATCTGAACCAGTTTCTTCCTTTCACAAAAACCCACGGCCTATAAATCTGATTTGTAAAATATCCACAGAGACACTGCACATAAATACAAATCAGATTATTGATTCTTGTGACCTGGACCGAGCTTCAGAAAGTAGTTCTGACGGGCAGTGATTAAGAAATTTAAGAATGAACACAGTCCTTCATTTAACAGGCTTAAGCAGCAGCTTGTAAAGGTTTCCTCTGTGACATTATCCCATCTGTCTTTTACCATGTAAATCCTGACACATACATTTTTCACAGCAAGTGCTCTATTTGTCTTCTTGTCTCCTTTCTTCTGGCACTTCATTGTGTATTATCTGCAGCAGCCCTACTTTTGTGTGCACGTTTTTTTTTACACTTTTGTTTGTCTCTGGCTAATTTGTATGCTCATGTTAATTTCTGTATACACAATTACGTAAACAGGATTTGCCCAAGGGGAAGATGGATAGGGGATGGGGGTGTGTGTGTGGGGGGGGGGGATCAAATTAAATCTTGTTTTTAATCTATTGTTTCTGGTTTTGCTGGCAGGAGCTGATGGTGACGGTGTGGACTTACTGGTGGTGTTGTATCTGACACCGTAGAACATCTCCGGACAGGGTCGTGACACCATTTGACCGGCGCTGCTCCTGGGCCAGCAGGTGCCGATGCCATCGATGGAGGTGTCACAGTAGAGTCCCGAGCCTGAAGCACGAGGGTGGGGGGGGTGGAGGACACACACAAAGGTCAGATGCAAACATAGATTCCTGGCATGGCTCAGGACTACATATAGCCACGGTGAGATTCTGATAATACTCCAATGATGTTGGCAGTAAATAAGCTGTTTGTGTACACGAGCTTTAATGATTACTCCTACTGCGCTTTGCTTTGCTGCGCTGAGCTGAACGTCGTCTCCCGACGCCACAGTCTATTTCCAGCATTGTTCTCCTCTTTGATGTTAGTCCTTATAATCTGAGTTCAGATCAAACTTGTCTCCCTCGTGGGGGTATTCCACAACAACCCTGCTTTGTGCTAACTGCGTAAGGGAATCAGTTTCACACATGTGAGAAGAGCAACGTGTCAGACTCACCGCTCCACTGACCTGTGGCATTGCTCAGGGTTTGGTTCCAGGAGGCGGCCAGGGACTGCACTGCAATCCAGAAGGGAGAGTTTCATCAATAACCTCAGATTTTTGTTTGCGCAGTTTAGAAGAGGCTTTGAAATCTCATTAGATTCAGCTTAACGGCGACAAAGGGTGAAGCATTAAAGGGCAACAGTAAACACTGGTGACAGACCTTTCCCCAAGCAATAACAGGATGGTAGCTGTGAATATGAATCTAGACATGCCCCCAGGGTCAGGCTATTATTTCTTTAATAACACAAGAAGATTTAGATGAAAATATCCAGAAATCAGGATTTTCTGTGAGGCAAAGTAGATGCTTAATTCTAATGCATTGTTTTTTCAAACCAGTGTCTTCACACCTTTTTTTAGTTAGAAAATGAATTAATCCCAGTAAAAAATGAAAAGAGCAGGGATTAGTTTCAGAGAAACCACAGCACTGGTCGTTTGTTCAAACGCCTCATAATGACATACATTTACATGTTCCTGACAGGGAGGCTGTAGTAGCTGTGAGAACTGTGAATCTCATCTGTCAAGAACAAAAACAAACGTAGTGTGATGCTGTTATGACGCCACAAATATGGCTTTGACTCAGGAGACAGCTGTTTGCATCTTGTCTCGCAATGTTGGTTTCTCTTTAACAAATTTAATCTATCTGTCCCGAACTTTAACCGACTAGTTCTTCCTTTAAATATGGCCACGAGTTGGGCAGTAACACATGAATGAGAGACATTTTACAGTAATGTTATTACTCATAACAAGTAGTTTAAGTTTACAATGTGAAATGTAGTAATTATATTAAGTTACTAATCCCAGTAACGCTCAGTTACTTCAACTATTTTGTATTTGGCTTTTACAGCTGACATTAAAATGCAATCTGTATTGAGATGATAAACGAACTGATCCTGCCTTTGCATTTGTTTACACCTGTTATTTTTTTAATGGGTTCTCGTTTACTCATTGAAATCGGATCAAAGGTCATGTTTACACCTAAGACCTGAACACAGTGTGAGCCAGACCACAAGAAGTGATCAGGCAGGTCATTTACACCTCGCGTTAATGTGTTTTGTTTTATCTGGATAAGGTGTCTGGATACAGATCGCATTTTCATACCAGGTGTAAACAGTGTCTTTGACATCAGTTTCTTCTCTCTGTATTTACTGTAATCTCGGTGCAGGGGCTGCAGGTGTGGGGGGTTAGGGTTAACCTCTGGCAGAAGAAAAAAAGGTCATCTTAGATTTGTCCTGCAGCTGGATGATGGCTCCACTGTGAAGTCTGGACTGTACGGTTGAGATAGTTGTTGATGTTGAATGAATCTCTGTAAACTGTTGACCGTCTGTCTGAAACCATAATGTCTCATTTTCTGTTTCTGTACGATTTAGATGAAACTCTAATGGACTGGGTGACATGTTAGTGATTAACTGTCACTGTGTTCAGACTGTTTATGCTGCTACTGAGATTTCCGGGGTGTCAGTAAAATGTTATAAGCCTGTCATTCCCCATGACAGTGATTTGTTAGACATAGGGGGGGGGTTGTTTTTCCTACTAGTCCGGGGAGCAAGTGATAAGTCTACTAGCTCAATCCAAAGTAGGAGGCTAACAGAGAGCTAACAGAAGCTAAAGGAGAGCTAACAGTGACCTAATGGAGAGCTAACAGCAAGCTAAAGGACAGCTAACAGAGAGCTAATGGAGAGCTCACAGAGAGCTAAACAAAGAGCTAACAGAGAGCTAAAGGAGAGCTAACAGTGGCCCGAAGGAGAGCTAACAGAGAGCTAACAGTGAAGTTAAGAGGTTTGGTCTTTTGGCGTTGGCTAATGGTAGCTGTTGTTCTGGTTGCTAAGAACTTGCCAGGAAAACCAGATAACGTCTTGTAACCTTCTTACTGAATGACGCTATGCTACAACACATAACATGTGACATGTGAATGTGGAGGACCTGGACTTGTTTAAAGGCACAAATGCTGAGTTTTCTGAGTAAAAAAGGTAATGTAACAAGTAATGTAAGTGATTACCTTCGCTGTTGAGTAATTAGTAATTAGATTTTAACTAACTAACCCAGCACTGATTACTAGTAATGGACAATATGGCTCAGCCTGTGTAAACAGTTGTATCATGTCTCCTGTGGTTTTGGAGGAGCTCTCTTTAGTCTGAGAAAATAAAGATAAGGGTTATCTTGGTTTATTCATGGAGACTCTAAATTTATAATAAAAAGTCTGAGTTAAAAACTGGGGAGGTGGAGTTTCAAAAATGTGCACAGGGAGAGATGCATTACAGGATATATAGGATTCCCTTAGTTTAACCCATAAAATGAACTAAATATCAGATAATCTCACCCTGTGCTGCCTCAGTTTCTTTGTTTCTTTTTTTATCTGTCTCTCACAAATATCCCAAATTTACAGAAGAACAAAGACTTCCCTCTAATCACAGTAAGGGCACACACACGGAAAACTCACGTGGGCTGTTTTTTTAAAGACAGAGATAAGCAATCATTCTAACATTTAGCTCAAAGGACCTACCATATAATACAATACAAAAATATGATTTGTACAGCCATCACTACTCAGTCACAACTGGAGCTGGTTAATGTTTTAAATTTTTCATCATCTGTGACAATGAGAGTTTCAGTGTGCAGTTTCAATTTATTTTTAAATAAAAAAAATATGCTCAACACAGCTGTGGTATGTCCTGTTTTGTCCTGACTGAGAATTCAATGTCATTTTTTGACTTTTTTTCAGGGTGGGGGTTTAAAGTAAATAATTAATGATTTAGCCAAATAATAAACACATAAAAAGATTCATTTAAATTTTTTAATTTGAATTCCATCACATCAATTAATATTATCATTAGATAAACATTATATGAGCATAAAATTAACAATTTAGTTCAACTTTTTTTCTGTTCTTTTCTCCCTTTTTTGTATGTTTATGTTTTGTAACTGATTATTGATTGATTTAATCATTTTCCTTCGTTGTGCAATTTTTTTTCTCATTGCCTGCTTGTGGATGGAGCAGGGCTCCCAACATGTCAGCATGCTTGATGTACTATACTTTGCATATGCTTCATCCCTGCAGTTATATCTAATTTTGTGTTGTTACTTCCATATTTACGCAATACATAACTGATCACAAAAGAAGGTTTAGTTAAACTTGCTGATTTTATAATGTTCCGCTTGCCTGTGCAGAGAGCAGCTGTGCACACCACCTGGATTGGGCTGTGGGTTGCCAGGATGTTGTGACAGATGGGTTGAAATTGTATTTATGTGTGTGGATTGTGTGTCTAGCTTGTGTTTCATACATAATCTGGTAACATCAGATAAACATAAAACATATGGATGTGGTTATGAAGATTATTTTTGATAAAGGTTGAGGGAGGTTGATGTTTCCTGGGAGAAACAACAAAACAGGATGGCGCCGGGAGATCACCTTGAAGTCCCGGAGACTCCTGGGCAAAAGGGGAGTGCTGGCAGATATGGACTTACTGGTTCCGGCTTCTCAAATGTGAGCATTTGCAGCTTTTCTCTATTTTATATCATTGTAAACTGAATATTTTTGAGGTTTTGGACTGGGCTACGTCACCTTGGGGTTTTTTTTTTTTTTACCTTTCAAAGACTACATGATTAACTGATGAGTCAAACAGTAATAATCAACATATAAATCAATAAGTAAAATAATTTGTAGCCCTCCTTGACACATTTCAGTGCTGAGGCTCATCACAAAGCAATGTGACAGCATATTAAATACAGAGAGCATTGTTACTACCTGAGAGCTACCTGAGACATCTTTATGAGTATTACCAGAGGCAAGTAACGAGAAGATATGTGTGTGTGTCCTCTCCGGGTGTTTAAGTTTAACCAGCTATTACTGTGCTTGTGAGGTCTGCACAGAAATGGAATAATAAGAAAAGACAGTTTGCCAATATCCACAAGGGAAAAGTTGTGATCGAGGACGAGGCTTTGGCATTTAGCGGCTACCATCACGAAATGGAAAAAGACTGAACATCAATTCAATCTCAAGTGGATCAACTTCAATTCTCAGGTTGGTTTTATAACCGGTCTTTTAAAAGCTTTGTGGTAAACATCCCGCTGAAGCTGGTCATCAACTTACAGGAGAAATTCCCTGACAGCATGAGCAGAGCTTCACATGTCAGATCTGCCACAGAGGCCGATGGCAGGAAGCTCACAATGGCACACACCTGCGAACACAAGAGGAGACACACACACACACACACACACACACACACACACACACACATACACACACACACACACACACACACACGCACACAGGGTCAGGATTCATCAGATTAAACATTACATCTCGTTTGCCTCGTGTTCCTTTAACTCCCTGCCGCACAGAGCAGATGAAGTTGTGCTGAATCGAACTGAAAGACTCTCGCTGCCCTTGAGCAGATGATGCATGTATTAACAACTCCCCTCGCCTAATGCGGCGCTCCTAATTTGGAGCGCTTTGTAGTCTGTAATCATCATTCTCCCTGTCAACAGTCTTGCATGTTTACAGATACAAGTATTCAATAAAATATAGAGGCAGAAGAAATTACTGATTGCCTTCTTAAAGGAGGGGTTGTAATGATGAATTCAAGATATCCACAGTGTGTGTGGTTGCCTACTTTGCATGTGTGCTGAGGGGGAGAAACATTGAATAATGCACATAATTTTAAAACTACAGCAGGCAGTTCAGGAGGCGGGATCCGTCTGTATCTGTCGGATCTCGTGTGACATTAAGTATCTCTGTTTCCACCACGATAGGGAATATGAACGCCTCTATTTAGGGTTTTTGTTAAAGGACAACACAGCGAGCAGAGTTCACGGTTCACAGATGAATATTTCATCCACACACTTTGATCTCGACTGGATTTCTCTCAGCCTTTATGAGTGACATCTGGAAACCATCCAAACCTTGAAGGTTGGAACAAACATCCAGTGAATGTGCTTCACGTTGCATGTGGAAACACTGAACCACCGCTGCTGGGCTGGCACATAGGCAGCATCTGTCAGTGCCGTTTTATGAGGCAAGAAAGACCACAAAAGACTGTAAAATGTCATCAGTTTCGTTTCTTGTTTGGACTAAACTGGCCTTCCCTAATTGACCCCGAACACCTCAGTGCAGCTGTGCTTTCCCAGCGGACACTACTATTACCAATAAAGCCAATGTTTCACTTCCTGCTTAAATAAAACATCCTTCAATCCATCAATAATGCAGCGTCTGAAACTGTGGACGTTTCATATCCGTCAGACAGAAAATGAATTTTAATTCATTAAAATTCCTCACTTTTGTGTCATCTGTCTTGAGTAAAAAGCACATTCATACCTGCTGGTCACAGCAGCGTGAAACAGCAGCAGTGTACGTAGTCACATCATATAAAATGCTAGAGTGGTCCAGCTTTCAAACGAGGGTTCCTAACGGTTTGCTGCGTCTGCTTCATGCCCTGTGAATCCTGGGGCAGGTATCAGGGTACAGTCACCTACTGTACCAGCTGTCCACCTCCTTCCAGGTAATTACAGGTCAACAGCTGACAGCCACAATGCACACGGCAGGATAACACAGACGTTCATTTGCAAAGGATTTCATTTTTTCAGTCGTGGAGGAAGATTTCAGATGCTTCACTTGAGTAAAAAAAAATAAATACTTCATTAAAAATAAAAGTCCAGCATTTAAAATCACAGTGACAAGAAAGCACAGAAGTGTTATCAACAGAAAAAGGATCATTATTACTGATGCATAAACGAGTGACCAGCATTTCTGTCGAAGCTGGTCGGGGTGGAGCTGCAAAAATCTCAAGTTTATAAAGAGATTTCTGCCAATAATCAACCCCAACACATTTATTTCACAGTACAGTAATATTATTCAAGTTCCTTTTAGATTATATCAACTTGTTTTAAAATATTGTATTTAAAAAAAACTAAAAAAGTCTCTATCTAAGGCTGTTTCTGTACCTTTTGGTGCCTGGGTTGACGTGTCCACTAACTCCCCCAAGGGGATGGATCTTTTTATTATTATTATAATAAATTTACATTTAATCAACTTCACTCGACTTCTGGTTTGTGTCCCACCAAAGACGTTTACAAGAGTCAAGAGTTATGATTTATCCTGAATATTTTCTACTATACACAGATTATTTTTTTCATTTTTCCATAATAAGTCACTGGCTTCAAAAACAGTATCACTCTACTCTCTTTTACACTCTATGGATCAAACCAGATGAACTGTCTGAAAGATTTAATCACCCATTGTAGCCAACACCCATGTTTTCAAGGTCCAGAGCTCCAAATAAATAAATATCTCAGCATTTGTAAAAAAAAAAAAAAACAAAAGGTTTTTGAAAAGTGTAGATTAAAGTTGATTTAAACAGAAAACAGATCAGTGACATTCTTACTGTTCTCAGATTATTGGAGCTGAGTTTGTGCTGAATAAAAACATATCTAGCACTTTGTTTTTCACGGCATGTGAAACCAACTCAAAAGTGGCTGACAGGCCTCAGACTCAAAGACTTAATTGACTTGATAATGAATTATGTTTCACAGGATGAAAATAAATGAAGCAAATTATGCAACATAATTAATTACTATAGCTGATAAAAGTAGTGGTGTATATTTTCCCTCTGAAATGATCTAATGTATAAAGTGTCATTAATTAACAGCAGTGGAAAAAAAGAAGTACATTTACTCAAGTACTTGAATATTTCTTCAGTGCTACTTTCTACTTCTACTCCACTGCTTAACAGATGGGAATATCGTGCTATTTATAATATAATCAATGAGATAAAGGTTGGCTCACAACCCACCCTGCAGTATAAAGTGGCTAAAATTGGCTCCATCTTTACCAGCTGCAACAATTCTGTACTTTTACTCAAGTAAAATGTTGAATGCATGACTCAGAGTAATCCTACCCGGCGGTATTTCTTCTTTAACTTCAGATCTGACTTCTTCTTGTACCATAAAACTGAATTCAGGTCCAGCACTCAAGTTCTAGTTTGACCTGAGCAGGCATGTGATATGTGAGTTGCTGCGAGTGTGGGGGCCCTGTGTGCTCTTAAATGACTACAATGTGGACGCGAATAGAAAGCGAGGGGGGGGGGGGGCTTAAAAAAAAAAAGGGTTCAGAGGATTCTTTACTATTCTTAGTGTGACAGTTTTCCTCACACAATAGAGTAGGAGGTAGATGAAGTAATTCACCTCGGGCATCTGTAACAACATCATCCTCATGTCTCCTATGAGTGCAACAAATCCCAGGCCGTACTGTTGCCTCTGTGGGCTCTCCATGTTGAGAGATGGTATCAGATAATTGATCTCAGTGAAGCATTTTTTTAGACTAGAGATTTGAACTTAAGCCTCAACTTTGTCCACTTTTCTTATCCGGGGAAGCAATGGGAAGTGGGAGTGAGAGGGAGTGCACTTGCTGCATTAACACGCTTTAATCCCCAGTGTCCCAAATCCTGGTTTTCCAGCATCTGAATCTGAATCCCAGATAGGAAGAGGAATCATGTTGTTTTTTCTCATGCCATCTTAACCCGAGTCCTGGTTCATGTTTCTGTTTACAAGTAAACACAACATTGGCAGCTTCAGCACTTCAATGATATAATATGATGCAGATTGTTCTCAATATTCCAGTGGGAAGGTGGGGGAAAAAAATCCCCAAATCTCCCTCTGGATTACTCTCCTACTTCAAACCTTTCAGAAGAGAGAAGGTTTATTTTTTTCTTGCTTTAAATGGATGTTTTTTTTAAAAAAATAGCTCTGACATGGAGACAATATCCAAAACTGACATCTGGTTGGGATGATAGTGTTAAATCCCTTCACATCAAGATTATACTCAGCTGCAATCCGCGAGAATAAGAACAGATCTACTTGCTTTTGTTCCGATATCTTTAATTAAATGTCTAAGAAGATGAGGGAAAAGAAGATGAGGTCAAAGCGCAAAAGGCGCAGAACTTACCTCAAGCAGAAAGAAGCATTTGCGACGCATTTCCACTCCTTTATTTTTCACATTATTTTCATGTGTCGTTAATTTTCTTCTTCTGACTTGATGGAATCCGGGGCACACTCCACAGAGACTATCCTCTGAGTTTTATTGTGCAAAGAAAAGTCGCAGCAACAATTTTTTTTTTCTTTTTTCTGATGGTGCCAAATATGTTGTTGTTGTTGGAAATGTGAAAAAGCAAAAGCGCGTAGCCAGAAGGAAACCAACCGGTCTCCAAGTGAGCTGTCCGGGTGATATCAGAGGTTATGTTCCATTACGGTAATTTAATAAAATAAATTTTAAAAAAAAGCCCGGGAGCACAAACATTTCAGCTGGCCTCCGGGTGATGAACTGTCCTCTCCGTTCAGCTCGGGTTGTCGTTGAACAGGCAGCTCTAATGAAGTCGTTCCGGTTAGTTTGTGTTGGACTGGAAACCGAATCCACCGCGGAGAGAGCGCACCATCAGCCGGGCACCGCCGTGTACCCTTCAAGGATGGCCCCGAAACGAAACTCCTTTTACACGCATGGTTTACTGCGCAGGTTACCCGGAGCTACACCGTCATGTCCCCCCCCCCACCTCCTGCTGCATATCCAGCTTCTGACTCCTGCCGTGGTGGTAGCCTATAGACCGTCTCCTCAACGCGCCGCCCACGTTGTGCCACTTTGTCGGGGAGTATCCGACGCGACTGAGGAACTACTCAGTTTCTCCTCTTGGAGTTAATTATGCATCAGCTCCCCGCTGGTCCGGATCCTAATCTTTAATCCCTTTGCAATCTAGATGTCACTGCCGCGAGGAAAGTTAAAAGACGGACCCGGGCTAAACTGATTTGGGAAGGGTGGGTGTGGATCCGTGCGCATCACTGAAGAGAAGAGAAGAGAAGAGAAGCTCTTATTAAGCAGTCCAGGAAAGGGAACCCTTTTAACATGTGCCCCAATTTACAGATGAATTAGTGCCAGAGCTTCGAGTTAACAGATTTGGCTGTGAGCTACTGACGGACAGATGGTCCTACTGTGTCAATAAAGTTAAGCATCCCTCGGGATCTTTTCAAATAACCTAAAATCCAATAGAAATGAGTTCCAAAAAACATGCTCTTTAAAAACAGATTTATAATTCTAATGCTTGTGTATGCAGATTAGGGCTGAAACAATCACTCAATCAATTAGTTAATCAACTGCAAATTAATTGCAAACAAAGGGATTCAAATTTAAATAAGACATAAGCTGATTAAAGGGATGAGAAAAAATACTTACAATACATACAAAATTGTCTTTTTTTTATACTGGAGCTTTAAAAATCCAACTGTGTTCTTTTTGGCCACTTGGGGGCAGCAGAAGCAAAAACTAAACACATCACATATTTTCACCTTATCAAGTTGAAATTCAATGTGAGAACAACGTCAACAGTACGATAGACGACATAGAATAGTCTACCACCAACCGCTGACCTTGATATTTTGTTCATCTTACAAGAACTATTTGTAAGTTTTGCTATTGCTACATAGCCAACGTTAGCATTAACAGCTATTCACTGGTCTTGAAAAAACGTTGCGAGTTCAGCATCAAATTTAATTTCTTTACTCACCAAGAGCTGTCGCCAGAGGTGGACAGAAAACACCAACGTTAACTCTTGTCTCTATTACGTCTTTTCTTCTACTGAAGTTAGCACGCCAACCAGCTAACTACAGCCCGTCTCGTCAACTTTCCCATAGCGACTCACTGTAGCCTCCAATCTGCCCTGAACAGTGCTGCTCAGAAAGCCTATTATAACCTCATGTATTATAATGACAACGATGGCCGAAGCTCTTATCAAGCAACAATCACCACCACCCGCTCCCAGGAAGAAACCACATTTGGCAGCAGAGAAAACTTACAAATAGACACTTTAAGTTGTGTTGTGAAGTAACCAAAATCCAATGTCTTCCAAACTTCTCATGCAGACACCATCTTCACCAACAATCATGAGGTATGGTGACCAAAACCCAATGTCTACTAAGCGTCTGCTAAATATCATGATGTCAGTTAGGCAACGTTGGGTTTGGACATCAACCTGATTTTAATTTCCAACTAAAATTTAACATCCGTCCAACGTTAGAGTCCAATGTCTTTCTGACGTTTTATTGACGATGCGTGCAACATTAGCATTAGAGTCATGTTTCTGCTCACCTGACAAATGTAACTCCAATATTCACTCTGTTTTAACTCAGATTTGGGGGCCGCTTGAACTGATGAACCTACCAGGAGTTACCAGATGAATCTGCAGCCAGCCTCAGCTTTACAGAGCTTTATAATGAGTTTCAGCTCATTGTTTATCTGTCCGGACACAACTTCACTGTTCTGGCTCACATCACTCTCATAACATCATTTTTGGCTGCACAAGGCAGCTGTTTTCAGAGAAACAGCCGTAAAAAAGCCACTGTCCTCTACCTGCTCAGCAGCAAACAGCTGACAGACACAGTCAGAGAGCAGCTGGTGAACATAGTGGAGCATTTAGCAGCTGAAGTGCCAGAGATTTCCCTCAGGAGCTGGTGGAGACCAAACACAGAGTCAAAAGAGAGGGACAAACATGACTCAAAATGAGTGATCATGTTGCTCTGTTACTGCTGGATGCATAAATAAGCAACTGCTTACAAACAAGTTCACCATATTAAGTCAAAAGGTGATGATATGTCAACTTTGTCTTCATTACTTGTTTCCACTGCCCCCAAGTGGCCAAGAAGAAATCAGTCATGTAGGTTTGAGCTGTCAAATGCTCCATGTTCACCAACTGGGTCTGACTGGTTCTTTCATCAGAAGTTTTCCTGCTGTAGCTGAAACTGATGAGATTAAAGTAAAGTTGTAAAACCAAAACAATAAGCTGAAAGACATTAGATCACTGTAGAGCTGAGAAGAACTGCACAGTCTGGTTATAATTCCTCATGGGTTTGCGATATAGATATATTACCTGTAGCAACTTCAGGCTCTTCAAGGCTGTAAAAATCCTACAATCCTTAAAAGGAACAATCTTAGCCAGAAACATTACTCTGTGGTTGAACTGCTCGTTCTCATGCTCATTCACATTTCTTCAATTTAAGAGGTCACAGGCCAAAAAGGTTGAGAAACACAGGTTTAAGACATTTATCATTGAGAAATGCCAGATAGTCTCTGGTTCCAGCTTCTCAGATGTGATTATTTTCAGATTGTCTCCTGTGTTTTATCTTTGTGAATTGAATATCTTTGAGTTTTGGAGTGTCGGTCGGACAAAACAAGATATCTTAGGGCCGTCTCCTTGGACTCTCAGAAATTGTGCATTTGTCACACGATTGCCTGACATTTTATAGGAGAAACAATTACTCAACAGATTAACGAGAATAATCATTAGCTGCTGTCCTATTTGAGATTTTGCAAGGACTTACATCTCTGTCATACTCCTGTCCCTGCACATTTGAATCCAAAATAATATTTTACACAAAACATTATAATATTAGATGTTATATTATGCTCACATGCAGGAAGGAGGGATGGCAAGACTACTAACATACGACTGAGGCTTTGAGTGCACAAAATGCTTTATGCACAGTGTGCTAAAGCTTTCTTTAGACCCGGTGACGTGCAAAGAGGCATTATTCAAAAGATGCTTTAATTCAAGGTGACAGTGCCCTCCCCTGAGTATGCCATCTCGTGAAGTGTCAGTGGTGGCAACAAGGAGACCATAGCAAACTGGGTTATGTGGTTAGAATACTGTTTCAAATTGTTGGTATAAGCCTACTCCTTGTAGGACACAGTGTACCCACAAACCATACACACACACCTGTCTATGAGACTAGCATTCAGGTGCTGAAAGATATCATGTTAATCAGCTGGACAGGTGTTATCTATGCTTTAGTGGAACCATTGGTTTTGGTCTTGATGTGGATTTTCTGAGCGGCCACCTGCGTTTATTCAAGAAGATTATGTAAGACGGGCTTTCTAATCCCTTTTCCTGGGGCTGGATGAATTTACCATCAAGCACACTGTGATCCAGCCCCCCACCCCCACTTTCATCTAATCTGAAACACAATTTATCTTCAATCTAGACATGAGACATCGCCGGTGCTAAGGGTCATTCCAGATGCATGGACGATGACAGAGCAGGCGTTTATTGCATGTTGGGGTGAAGTACATTTATGTAATGAACAACACTCACCCCTGTTAAGACCCAGATTAACACGGTGCTCTCTACACTGTGCATTCGGTGATGAAAATGTGTAACCTATAGACCCACCGTGTAGAGATAGAGATAGCTGCATGAGAAGGAATATACCTTGGTAAAACTGTTATCATTTTCTTTCAGAGAGGAATACGTTTGAATATTATTGATTTGTCCTTTGAGTTGATTAAAAAAAAAGACAAAATTCACTGGTTTGAGTTTCTCAGATGTGAGGATTTCCAGTTTTTCTTGGTCCTATCTGATACCAAATTCTTTATATTTGGGTTTTGGACTGTTGATCAAACCAAAAAAGCAATTTTAAGACGTCCACCGTTCTGACATTTTAAAGACAAATTGATTGAGAAAATAATCTGCAGATAAATCACCAATAAAAAATAATCCCTAGTTATAACCCTACACCTTAAAGCATGACAGTTTATTCTTGACTTTGCAAACTGCAGTTAACAGAGCAACATCAATTCAGCGTCCACTTAAATTGCTTTTCCAAACGTGGACACTTATGTCAACTAATTGACCATTTATGGTAAATAATTATACAGTTTAGCTTGGGTAGAAATGTCATTTGTGTTTGAAGGAGGGCTCAAAGTCTGACCTAAATCCCATTGAAAACTATTGGAGAAAGCTGAAATCTACCACTGCAAAAAGGACTCCTGCTAACTTAAAAGAGTTTGAACACATAGCAGTAGAAGAGTAACAGAAACTACCTGCAGACATGTGCAAGTAGCTTCCAGATAGCTACAAGAAAAATTTAGAGAATATAATTGTTGCCAAAGGTTCTGCAGCCAATTATTAGTGAGAGGTGCCAATAATTGTGTCTGGG